TCCAAATCCGGGTACGGAGCAATATGGTATTGAGTACGTTGGAAATAATCAGATTTCAAGGAGAACTTCCAACCATTACCCTGATCCATAAGATTTCTATTCTAGTCCTTCTAAAGTTGCATCGCCGATTCGATTATACCGACAACCCCCCCCCCTTAATCCCTTAAAAAATGCGACATTCATCATCCAGGCCGTAGTAGCTCAGAATAATACGAGAAGAAGCTCTGCGAGTTTGAACCTTTTTACATTTGTTCTCGAGTTTTGTGTTGCTTCGGAGGTGCAAGCAGTAGCACAACTGCCCGGAAAGCGAGGGGTACGGGTTCGATACCTGCCTGAAGCGTTTTGCCCATAACCCATCATTCTTCTGGCAATCATTTTTACGATTTTTTGGTGTCAGTCCACGTTTGTCCTGGAATTTCTACTTACCCTTTTGTAGCGCCTATTATTTACCTACTGTGAATAAAAATTACATCCGAGAGCTTGAGTCAAATGCAAAATCCCAAAGCAAGATTTTGTGAGAACTGAAGAAAAGCCTCGAAAGCGTTCCAGTTTTGCCTTCTCATAAGAGCTATAGTCGGTAACTTAGTAAAAGTGCTCGTCGCTTTCAAAAGATATAGCGAAAACGAGCCTCACCTCGTTATCCTGCACATATGCGAATGTATTTACTGCCTCAAGAAAAGCCCGAAAATATTTAGCTGCCTTGAACAATTTTGCCCAGAATGCTCTCAATTCTCACGGTCTTTGGAAGTTCCAGTTGCGGACAGTCAGCTCTTACTCATTACACTATTAACACAAGACTGTTAGTTAAGGTTTGTAATGGTTTGACTCGCCGCCTGAAAGCCGCATCAAGTTTTCTGCATTGAAAATCCATTTGACGGATTTTTTTAAAATATTGAATCCTCTAATAAAGTTTATGAAGTCGCATTGTTTCAGCTTGACGCCCATTTTGCTGCTGTGAGCACTCTTCAAAGCCCTTGTAAAAGGGAGGTCCAAAAAATTTGGCAAGGCGCTAATGTATCGCTGTCAGATTGTGAGGACTATCGTCGGACAGTACGATGATGACCTATCTATCGCTCAGAATAAGGCTGAGGTTGCACCCTGAAGAATAAAGTACACAGAGTGGGGTTGCACTAGTGCACTCGTTTGCGAACAGCAAGAACTGAAAAGAGGCTCGGACCTTTTGAGGTCATCCATGCATGGTTTCCACTTGATTTTGCAGGGAGATGCTTGCGAGAAAATAGCTTGGTACATAGTTTTCCGTTGTTAATTCAGTTTTATCGTGGAATAACCAAAGAAAATTTTACTGCAATTACCCTCTTAAATAACCCTTCATGAAATTCATAAATTCAGAACCTCCCACTGAACATATTTTCCGAGCGCAAACGTCCTCTTGTTGAAATTAATCGCCTGCCAGCTAAGCAGCTCAACTGAATTAATCCATCAATCCCTCGCTGTTCAAAAATCCGCTTCTCGTGTTCTCCGAAATCTTCCCACTCATGCGTTTCACTTCTCACACCTACTTCACTTCCCTAACTTTTTCAAAGCCTCTAGTTCATAATACATGGTCCCATCCAAAGCCTCCGCAAGTCCCGCCCTCAATAGTGGATTTCGTTGTGCCAAATGAGCAATGACTAGTTTTTGCCAGAGCTTCCAAACGACCAACTGTACAGCTCCAAAACCTCAAATTGTCCCCTGTCTCCTTCTCGCATTGCAAACTATTCGCTGGATTTCCTCAGACTTTTAGAATCCATATTCTCTACAATTTTTAGCTAGTAGCACGCTGCATGTATGGACGGCGTAGGGGTGCCGTTTTGGTGGCGTGCCAAGAGACATTCCGAAGCTATTGCATCGGTGTTCATCACCTCGAAGTCGATCCAGCGAAGACAAGTTCAGCAGTGACATACCCCCGAAGTAAGAGTTCAGCTAGTTCATGTTTACTGAGAGCAACCAATCTTTCCTTCCTTCGTTTTTTTTCCGTTCATAGGCCTTGACCCTGGTCTGTAGTGGACTAGAAACTGTATGCTCGCTTTGGCTAAAGTACGGAAATAAGAAAAAAATACTAGACTGGGATGTAAATCTCACTTGGCTGTTAATTGAATATACTGAGAAATCTCAGCGAGGCCCACTTGTTCATTGGATTAGCCGGAAATGGACGCCGATGGACAACAAAATGCTTTTTGTGTTGATTAGCCTCGGTTGTTCTTAGAGGCTCTGAAAATAGTCGATTGCATTCGCACGAATAGCGAGAAAATCAAATCAGATTCTGGCGCTATCGCAAGATACGGGGGCATCCTCTAGGAGTAAGCCTAGGGACAGAAACGTTGTGGTGGAAGAAGACGGCTTCCCTCTGTCTAAGGCTTGAGCTCATCCTCTCTGAACAAAAAGCGATATTTCATGCAGTTCCGATTGAATGCCGTTACAATGCCCCTGTGTCTTGTGGTAGCGCCCATGCCGTCTCTGAAACAAAGGTCACAAAGAATCCGTGGAAGGTTATATTGAAAGCACGATGAACCTTTAAGCAGAATTTCATTACAGAAATAATTTTTAGTTATTCTTTACAAGACAGTTCGGGGTTATATCACTTAGAAAAATTCCTGAATCAATTGACTGCTCAGTTACTTTATGCTTAGCAATATGTTAGCTCCACAGACTCTAAAATCTTGGCGCACCTCATTTATAGGGGTTTTCATCAAATTTTTTGAATACATTGTGTTCGCTCTTAACGCCTCCTTATGGTATTAGCCTGGCTAAGGAAACCATCTGGGCTCCCCAATATTGCCACGATGCCCCTATAGAAGCGCAGAAAATTTAAAATTTGAATATCTCGAAGATCAGAGCCCAAAATGTAACCCAAAACTCAGAGGTGTGACTCATAACTGAGAGTCCCTTTCAACACCTCAAAACTTCGAGTTTCTTGGAGTGTTTAAACTGTTGTTGCAAGGAGTAAATCGCACAAAAGTGTAGCGTGAATTCAAGCAGTTTAAAGTTGAACTTCAACTTTTTGCTCAATTTTTCGTCTAAAGCCGACTGCTAACGAAGGCGATGGCCGGAATCCTGAAATTTCGCGCGTCAAGTCTTTTTGGAACTGGTTTCCAAGAGTCAAAGTAAATGCCGGAAGTTGAATTTGGGTTCTAAAATTACTCGTTTCCGTTTCAGAATGGCTGAGCCATTCGGGCGCGTTAGGTTTGGCACGTTGGTTAGTACAAGTACACTTGAAGCGTAGTCCTAAGGCATTACGGGTATGAAAACTACAATTGTTACTGAAGAATGAAGTTGTCGGGACAAATTGCAGTGCCTAGGCCTTTGACTGTAAACGTTGGAAACGGTGTCATAAGGAGTGCACTGTGAGAGCTGAATGAGAGGATTAGGGAGAGGTAGTAAAGTGAGTGCTAGAAGGGTGTCTGTGTGAGAGAGCAGAGACTTGGAAGCGTGAGATCATCCACACCAATACTGTGCGTCTTTTAGGGCATGAACTTCATTGCGAAGCATTTCTTCGAGTATCAGTCGTTCGTCAATATGCCTCACAAAGCTGTTCAACTACACAAGACGGTGAGTAATTGGGGAAATTTCTTCGCGGTTATGGATTCTGTAGTCTCTGTCACGCCGTGAAAACATTCTGAGAGATTGCCTAAAATCAGAGCTCTCAAATTTTCGGTATTCTAGCCGCCGTCTCAAGCTGGAGCAGATCCTTCAGTGGGCTGGGCTCCGAAGAATATGCACAAAGCCGGTAAGAACCAACCGGCTCCAGCAGCACGAGCGAATCGAATTCATCGGTGAGCTGTTCATAGTCTGATACTTTTTTTTGCCTGAAATCCTCAGAGCACACTTGCGATCGCTAGGTGTTGTACTCCTTGGAAAATGAAAATATGGATCAAGGTGAACCGTTAATTGAGGAAAAATCATTTGAAAAATCGATGGAAATTCTGAAAATAAAGCCCTTTTTTGTAGTGATTGTTTCGAGAAAGGAGAGAGAGTGGGTGCTGAGATGGAAGAATAAGCGATAGAGCACAGAGACAAGCGAGACGAAGATACGTCACCATGCTAACCCCTAAACTGCAGCCAACAGTGGAAGCGATCTGCATCACCGGACCGCAGGTGCCGAGGCCGAAGCACCCTTGTGAGGCAATTTCTAGCCATAGAAATGGTGCCTATTTCATTTTTGTGGGCAGGTCCATTCTAATACCACAATGACTAGTACCCCTCACCGAGTGTAGACCTTCCAGTAGAGCTTTGAGAAGAGTTTCATGAATCAGGTTGTAGAAGGCTTCTGGGGAATGAACATTCCTACCTGTAGATGAACTTATCAGTGAACTTATCAGAGCTGTCTCATGAAGTGTTCATGATGGAGGAAGGTGTCCTTTCTTTTTTCCCGCCTTTAGAAACCAAAAAACCAGTGCCGATTAACGAATATTGCCATACTTGATACAAATCTGTTGCTGTAGCGTGGTGAAGGAGCAGTAAGAAGTGGCCCTGTTGTGCACTACATTCAGGGATCAAAGCCGAATCTGAACAAACTGAGCTCAACAACCTTCCAGGTCCCGGTTGAGGCAGAATGGTACCAAAACCGCCTGGTGGAATGACATCCCAAAACTTAGTTCCTAATGAGAATTGCGCGCTTAGCGTATCCCAGAAATTGATGGACGGAAAACAAGCTATTCATGCTTCCTATTTGTTGCTATCCTCACTACTTGAGGAAAGTGCCGATAAGCAAGGATAACGATGTACATTCATTTTGACCACTGTGTGAAGATGAGCTACCAGACGGGAGGCCAGTCGCATGGCGAGAAGGCAGAGACGCAGACGGTCAGCGGACGAGTTGCAGCGCGTACTGTAGCGATTAGCGTCAAGTTAAATAGAATGTGCTATAGTACGTCCCACATCACACAGTACGCGCTGCAACTCGTCCGCTGACCCGTCTGCGTTTCTCCCTTCTCGCCGCGACAGGCCCCCTATCAGGTATCTTTTAACATCAGGATCTTTCTTTACAGGGTTTCACGGGCCAGCACTTAAAAAAGCTCCCGTGTTAGGGCTCCCTGAAGACATTGACTGCTTTCAAACAATTACATACCGCTATTGTCAGAGTCAGAACCACCTCTGATGCTCCTTTCAGCTTTGTGGATAATAGAACGATAACTTCTCTGAGTTTGGCAGATGTCAAAGCTAGCGTAGCAGTGGTGTTCCGGCGTCACTTCATGTACTAGTAGCAGCTTCTCCTTTGATCTTTGACACTTCAACACATGGTTCAGCGTTTTCAATCTTCGGTTGTTGACCAACATTGGGTCTCCTATTACTTCTTTCATTTGCGTGAATCGCGATACCGCAAGCGCTATTCTGCCAAAGGCTGATTGGCACCCCGTGAACAGCTGCTTGGCATTTCCTCTCAGGTCTTATGACACCCACGCTTCTGGGGCATAGATTGGCTGATGGAACTAAATACGTATGAAAATGAAAAGCTGATTGCCCAGTATACGTCCCGAGAATCCGAGCCGCTCTCTTGCTATGAGAGAAGGTGGGAGTAAGGATCAGTAGGGCACATTGCACTAGCTGGACCACATTTGACGTATTACATAATTTATGTATCAATTAAGTAGTCTTATTCAACTCAGATTTTGCATTTCAGAGATCCCCGTCCCAACGGAACGAAACACGGGCGAGCAGCAAAGCATGAACACCGGGAATGGGGTGACCGACACGGTGGTAGGTTATGCTTCAAAGCTTGAAACCAGAAACGGAAGGGTCTTCTGGAACTGGATATTCATGCTTTGAGATAATTGACTGTTTTAGATGTTGATAATTTATCTCTCTTCCAGAACTCAAAGAAGAAAAAGTAGCACCTCACAAAGATGCTTGGACAAAGTTCCTGTCGAACGAGGATCCAGGCCAGAGGACCGTGTTCGATTGCGATCTCGAGGATCGAGTTCTGGCGGTTCGTTCCTGTTCAAATTCCTAAAAATTGTTTCTAAAAATACTTTCAAAGTATGCGAATAAAGTGTGCACTGGTTGAGTCCGGAATCTGTCCTCATTCCCCTTTTTGTCAGGAGGGGGAGGGTGAAATTGCTTAGCACCTTCATTTCTATGCTTTTGCTTCATAAACGACTCAGATCGTCTTTTCTGCACTCCGTAAAGATCTGGTTATTACAGCTGACCTTCACCAAATCCCATTCTGTAACCTTTTTTATCACTGCGATTGTAAGCCTTGCCATTCTTCTCCCTGC